TTTGAGTAGTTTAAAGGAAAATTTAAAAAAAGAAAAAAAATTAGACAGATCTTTGGAAAACTAATATTAAAACTGAAGTTGATCGATGGTATATGCTTCCCCCCCCAAATAAAAGAAAATTAAATTAATTTTTATAGAAAACTTCTAACTAAATGAAACTCTCTTTGCTTAGTTTTATAGAAATTACACCTGAAATTTGTGATGTATTATGTTGAATTTAGACGAAGGTCAATTATTTATATTTTCAAATATCTATAAAATAGTAATGAGTGTTTATTTAAAATTCATAGTTTTATAGTTCCAGCTGAAGAGGAAATTAGGAAAAGTCGTTGGAAGTGGATAAGACATACATTCAGGAAATCACCAAACTGCATCACGAGACAATCCCTAACTTGGAATCCGGAAGGGAAACAGAAAAGAGGAAGACCAAAGAACACATCATGCTGGGAAATAGAAGCAGATATGAAAAGGATGGATATTAACTGTAAAGAACTGGAAAGGAATGCTTGGGACATGATTGGATTTAGAAAACTGGTGTGCGGCCTAGGCTCCTCGACGAGGGGTAACAGGCGTAGGTAAGTAAGTAAGAGTTTTATAGACAACAAAATGTTTTCTTAAGATGAAGAACAATTGATGAACATCATGATATTTCAATCATTAATTCAGCTTGTAAATGTAGACTATTGGATTGTGAATCAGTACCCACAGGGATATTTAAGGGACTTCAATGACTTCCCAGGTAGGTTTACAAACTAGAACGAAAAAATAGCTTAGCTTATAAGACTTCAAAAGGTTATGTCATTTTATAACGAAAACTGCTTTACAATCATATTCACGCTTTTATTGAGATGCGTGATAATTATTATCCTACAATAAGCAAACAACTCGTATTTTAATACTTGATAAATACTATCTGAAATTTTAGTCATTCAAACCTACTTTTGTAAGGGTGAATTTGAGACAACAAAAGTCCTCTTTATTATTCCAGGGACTTCGAAGCATTGATTATTAGATCATTTAAATTTAAATCATATAATTTTCCCAACTAAACTAGTATTTACACAACAAATCAAGGATAGATTACCGACGATAGTCTCCTTTATGTGAGTATACCAATTCAACTGCTCCTGTGGAGTTAGTTATCTAGGCCATACTGATATGGCTTTATCCTTGCTTGTTTGTAAACATGTACCAGCATAGTTGGTAAAGGGTTACTAAATCGATCAACAGTAGTATTCTTTCTCACTTAGTAGATAGTGAACATCATATCAAAATAGAGGAAGTTTTTTTCTGTTTTATATCAAGTTCCAAAGAATATACCTGTACGAGCTAGATTACAACTATTCTACATAACCAAAGCCATCTGGATCAACTCCAGAAAACCAAACTTATGTATCCAAAAAGGTATATCCAGCCTCTGTGTTTACCTTGGCCTACAACTGGATCACCGGATACCTAGACTGAATATTATCAACCTCTTACCCCCTTCTCGTTTCTTTTGTTGATTAAATCTATCTTCATCTTCACATCCATCATTCCCAAATCACATGAATTCTTTTCTATCATAATTATCTTGATAACACCCCTCTTATTACATATTATATTCACACAACGATATTAACACTATTGTTATTACAATTATTATTACCTCGATTAACAAGATGAAACTCTCCTACTATACATTTTATTCACACGATATTCTTTTTTCACTTCCATTTTGTTGTATTTCTATTATACTGATTGTGACTGAACACTTTACTCCAAATCATTTTGGACCTTTATTATATAACCTTTCTAATTTGTTAATAACACAATTTTGAAGTATCTATGTCGTAACAGATGCAAACGTTCACTATTTTTAACATATAACATGGTCAAATTCATTAATACATGCCTCATTTTGGTCTTTGTAAAGTATCAAAATAATTATGGACTTATAACTAACTATAGAGCCTGATAATAAGGTTATTGAATACAATCGTTTGTTCAAATATTCTTCATTTTAAAAATAATTCGTTCGTATTTAATTTACTATTGGTTGACACAAATGAAAACAGTGAGATGAACAGTTTTCTACAAAACTTTAATCAATATCTTTTGTATCAATATATACTACTCTTGAGAGTTTCTGAGAACATAAGTAAAAGACAATCATTTATGTGAGGTTAAGGAGAGAAAAAAGTTAGAAGAAAAGATTTGAACGTGAATAAAAACACTTTCAGCAAAAATTATACTAATATTGGAATAGTTTTTTTTCGATATAACTCCATATGTCTTACCAATGAAGTGCTTCATCAGAGTACGTTTATTTGATTGAATTATTGTTTTTACCATTAAGACTGGGAAAAAATTTATAACCCGATATCTGTAGCTCAAAAATCATATATACATTATCAGAAGGAGTTTTGTGGAGATTTCAGTATTTTCATAGTTGAAATCATTAGTCGGTTGGAGCTAGACCACCATAGAAAACCTGGAAGCACTGGACAACCGTTTCGTCTTATTGTGGGACTCCTCAGCAGTGCGTATCCACGAAGCAGTGACCAGTGGAGTTCAACCACGTCTGTTGTGAGATATCAACTCACTGAAGACAAATGGTGAATGGTTGCTAAAACTTCGTGGATTGGTTGGGGTTAGATATTAACACCGTTGGATGCCAACCGGCTCAGTGGTCTATCGGTTAGGTTCTCTGGCTAGAGACTGGTAGGTCCTGGGTTCGAACCTCTCGAGGCGGGATCGTGGATGCGCACTGCTGTGGAGTCCCATAATAGGACGAAACGACCGTCCAGTGCTTTCTAGTTTTCCATGGTGTTCTAGCTTCAATCGACTCATGATTTCAACTATGAAAATATGTACATTAATCTAACTAATGTAGTTACTCATTAATATGAGTTTATACAAAACTGATAGCATTCGATACAAATCATGAGTACTGAAGCATTCTACAGTCTGTTGACAATAACCAAAGATTGTGTAAATTAAACAAAATTTTGTTAAAAACTGACCCAGGGAAAAAAAAACACATAACACTGGCTACTTTAGGTAACCAATCTGTGTTAAGGAAAATTCTTGGATGTACACAGATGAAATTTTCTTCAATAACAACAATCTCAGTAACTAAAAATTAAATTTGAATCTTTCACTTTGAAGATAAAATTATAGTTTTAGTGGCGACGTTTTTGATTAAAACATTGGTTGATGTGGATTTAAATCGCATTGGTAGTGACGTTTTCCTTAAAATTTCACATAGACCTTAACTACGAATCCAAATAAGTATGAAACCTAGAATCTGGAGGATCATTCTAGGGATTACCAAAAACTCTATCATAATCGGTCTAATCTATATGGCGCTTTAGTTCAAACCATAAATGTTAGACTGTTATTAAACGGCTATTTAATGGTTCATGATTAATAGTTAATTTTTTTGAGCATACGACTGTATGTAATTAAAACTGAATGCAGATTAAATTCACTTGGTATTATTTGTTTGAATATTTCCATTGATGTTTAGGACTGCAGCTGATCAGTGTCTTATTAGCATACGTGCGTACTGTGTGTATTGCCTTGTTATCGCCTTAATTCACAAGCATTATAAGCAAAGATATATTCAGTAGCGAAGTGGATAACGTGGTGGTATTCCAAGCGGATAGTAAGGAGTTTGAATGCCGGGATAAACATCAGTTCTGAGACTCAGGCACATCCAGCTGACGAGTCCCAAATAGAAGGAAACGCGAGTCCTGGATTCCACTGCTAGCTACAATCCATCTTTGATTAAATGCCAATTATTCTATAATAAGAAAGAGTAGCAGCTGTGCTGAATGACCTTGGTGGAGTTAGATGGTATAAATATTTTTCATTTCATGTATTCTTAAAGTTAGTGGTATTAACCTTGTTCCGTCATTGAACTAAACATTCACCTGTGGATAATTTACTTCATCTGCATAAATCCTATTTGAAAAATTAGAATGTGAAAAATAAAACATAAACGAAAACCCATGTTTAGTCGTCTTTTTTTCTTAAACTGTATATCAATTTTCATATAATTTGCTTTGAAAAAACATTTTAATAAGATTATAAACATAGATGGATAGTGGCTACAAGTGGAATCCTGGACGTGCGTTTCGTCCTCTTTGGGACTTGTCAGCTGGATGTGCCTGCACGAGTCGATATTCGAACCCAGTACCTTTCGCTTCAAACGCCATCGCGTTATCCACTTGGCTAGGACAATATGGACGTCCTGGATTCCACTGCTAGCCACTATCCATCTTTGCTTATAATTCTTGTGAATTAAGGTTATATAGAGGCAATACGCACAGTATGCACATATGGCCAATAAGAAACGGATCAATTGCAGTCCTAAACGTCTATGGGAAAATTCAACCAAACAATACCAAGAGAATTTTAATAAGATATCTACTGTATATGATCAATGTAATTTTATTATGTAATCTCTGACAAGATTGTTGAATAAAGCATCTATTTTCCGTTTTTAAAAATTAAAAATTGACCATGAAAATGAAAATATAAAAATAAAACTGAACAACTGTAGTTCGAATCACTTAAGAAATGTGCTCTCCTGTTCTTGCACAGAATCAAACCCATAACTATGATTTGTGCATTTAAACATAATCATAAACCAAATTTCCATTTAATTGCATATTTTTTGTGTTTTATTAATGTTGTTATTGTTTATATACACGAGCGAAAAGTTGACTGACTTCACATCACTAATGAGCGCTTCTTGTAGAATTCACACATTAATTGATCACTCAATTATCATACTGAACCTTGATCGAAAATGTTTGATCATCAAGAGACAATTTGATATTGATTCTTATTAAGTAATCAAGTAGTTTTAAAATGGAGTATATAAAAATAACAGCATATAATCATCAGCCTTCTGGGGATAATAAAAATCCAGAAGTTACATTATACTCATTTCAGTATCTATAATAGAAAAACGGAATAACATTGAGTATTTAATCTACTGGTCAACTTACATGGATACGTGATTGCCAGTTGAATAAACGCCATATAATACATGGTATTGAAAACATTGCAGCTTGTAACATTAACAAGAATGGTACCCATTGATAGTAATGTATGGAGTCTTTTCTATGTAGTGGTAAATCTGACGGTATTGTTGGCTGATCAGGTGATATGAAATAGGTTGAAGTAACCCAACATACTAATGCAGCATATTCAACTTGTGCACTAGTGAATTCATTCGGTGTCCAACATGCTATTGGTTTACCAATAAATTGTCTACCCATTATTATAAGTGTACATATCATAAGCACAGTTGTTGTATGTGAATGATTAATTCGATCAATAAAATCATCATCAGTTCGACTTTTACTACTTCCTATTTCAATACTTAATCGTGTAAGTCCATTTAAAACACTTGATTCAAACATAATTATTAAATTGGTAACACTTTAAAATTAATGTATATTACTGAAAATCTAGATCCCTTTTCAATGTTTAATGTCTTCAATATCTGATGTTAATTTATAAATTACCATCTCTTCAGTTTAGAGATTTGTACAAATGTGTTTGTAACACTTTTAAATGATTTAATTACCATTTCAAACTGTTAGTATCCTATAATTTACCTGTCTATCTATCTATTTCATTTGTCCTATTGAATATCCAATCCGTTATGAGTTGTAAAATAGATAATAGAAAACATTAGCAACCTAGGGAAATGTTTGATAACGTGAGTAGAATAAATGAAGGATCTATCGACTACTTTTAAAATTATTAGTTAGGAAAATATTTGGTAACAATTCGATTGAAATATCAAATTAGAATAAATCTATACCTGAAAGAAGAGAAATTCAGTGTTAGAATTATATTTCTTATTTTAACAGCAAGTTGATGAATTAAAAAAATGCCTACTAGAGCTGGTTCTCATTGATTGTCTAACTAAATTCAATTTATACAATCTGATTGGTATTCGACCGTTATTAGTGATGGTTTAAATTATCCAATTGCTGATATTTATAAGTGAACTTAAGTCAATCGTTTTAAGCTGTCATGATAGTGACTAATCGTTACTGTTAATCAAACATGGTGGTCTGGAACACTTATTCTATTAGATCTTATTGTCCCATGCAGATTGATTATTAAGCGGTGAGACTGGGAGAGAAAACTTTGATTCTACTGTATATGGATGTGACAACGTATTTCCATCAGACAACCGATATCTGAAGCGGTGCTGTATTCTCACAACAGAAAGGGGAGTTTAGTAAAGGTTGATCCTAACAACAGCAAACTCCGTCTTGGCCCATAAATTTTTGTCTCCGGCAGTGGGACCCTAAAGGTATGGATCAAAATGGGCCACAATTGTTTGAAAAATAACAATATGTAATCGACCAAAAAAAATCGTTCTTTCTATACTGTAGTAAGGCTCACAGGTCATCGTGACCACTCTTAAACATGTTAGCCTTCCAAAACTCCCCCCCACCAATAAAAGGTATCCTTTCATTGTGTAGCACCAGTGCTAACAACAACAGTTCATAAAACGCCGGAACTTCTAATTTCCAAACATTATGTAAAACCAGACAACAGGCGTCACTAGATGAAACCCTATAATCCATTATCACGGATATATACCTTGTCACCGAAACATGGATTCAGGATCCCAGGGTGACCATTCATTTGACCTAACTCACTTAGTCTAAAAATGGAACACGAATTTCCTGGATGGATTCCCGTCACAAGTCGCTTATATGGTACTCATCTTAGTGCGACGCACGCAGTTCTCTCTAAATCATCTCTAAAACCATCTCACCGCTGCCTGAATTGAATAAAAGGTGAGTTTTACAAGAAACATTATGACCTGCTTCAAAAAGTCATAAGCTCACTCATGGTAATCTTAGTTGATGATTTGAACACCCAACATCAATACCATATCCATCACTGGAAAGATTGTTTAGAAGACTGTCGATCCTTCTAAAGCACGTTCGTCGACTGGCTCATTTTATTATAAAGATAAAAGTACAATAAAAATGGTCCTAATAGAGATGGACACATCTACATAGTAGTGACATGTATATTCAGTAATTTTTGTAACGACAAAATAAAGACCATATTTTTTTATTTGCCACACTTTATATGTGGTCACATTTATATTCAATATCCATCGTTTCTGTGTATCAATTGCAATTGACGGACATAATTGTTTGCTTGTACTAAAACACACATACGCTACCGCTTTCATTAAAAAATAACGCTAGATCTGTTGTCCATTCTTCCACTTTAATGGCCATGGCCTGCGATCGAAGATTAGAATAGTGTTACACATCATCTTAGGCCATTCTACAAAACGTTTGAGTTTCGGCCTGGATTATTGTTGAATAATACTGTTTGATTTAATCTTTTACATTACGAGGTTGGTGCCACACTTGCAGAGGGACGTCCGTTAATCGAGTGAATTTGTTTGTGGTTCATATCTCAGAAGGAGCTTACAGGAAACATTTGTTTCAAAACAATTGTTATAATTTACTTATTATACCATTTTGTTGTGAGTGTTATTTGTTACCGTTTGATTTACTTAGAAATAAACGCTTCGTTTTATAGTGTTAGTAATTTTTGGTACATCCTTAGCAAATATGAGAATAAGCTCTTTTAGTCGGATCCCCCACAGCAACTATCACTGTCCAAAGTAGTCTGCAACATTTGATCCTATCATCATTCAAAATTGAGGAGATATGAGTCCTACATGTACATCACTTTACTTTAATAGTCTTCACAGATATATATATATATATATATATATATATATATATATATATATATATATAGACTACACAAACCAGAAGTAAAGCAACGGAAACATGTTAATCGAAAATTTCTACCCATCTCGACAACTATCTATGTCACCGATAAAATCACCAAACACAAAACACCTCCCAAACTCAAAACCCAAAAGTGCAAACGATCAAATCATACATATATTTTGGACTGAAACTGAATAAATAGTATATGAAATAGTAAGCAGAGATGGATAGTGGCTAGCAGTGGAATCCAGGACGCGCGTTTCGTCCTATTTGGGACTCGTCAGCTGGATGTACCTGCATCTCAGAGTTGATGTTCACTCTGGGACTCGAACCCAGTACCCTCGCTTCAAACGCCATCGCGTTATCCACTCGGCCACTGAGTCCTGATAGCCACTATCCATCTCTGCTTACCATGCTTGTGAATTAAGGTATATCGAGGCAATACGCACAGTATGCACATATGCCAATTAGAGACTGACCAGTTGCAGTCCTAAACACATCGATGGGAAGATCCAAACAAACAATGCTAAGTGAATTCAGTATATGAAATACTTGTAGTATCGGTTTATATGTTAAGCCCATATACTTTATTCTAGTTACTGTCCAAGCCAATTCACTATATATTATGAATCATATTTTGATCTTGTTCATTATTCCCTTATTAACCTTGACTACTTTTTATATGAGCGTATGTGTATGCACACTTCGTATCTTATTCATCATATGTCTGTCATTCACTTTTATCTGATTATAAATATTGAGTAATGCTTGCTCATAGCGAGTTGGCTTCCCAGCCATCTCCAAAGCGCACGTCATTTTGCTTCTCTCGCTTCTGTTCGCTTCATCTCTCTGATTCCATGGCCAGATCAATGAGTGTAGAAAATATATGTATTCTAATTCTATTCTCGAATTTGACGTATTTAACTCCGTTGTTCATCAACGCGGAATAAGTCAATTATTATATACGAGTATAGACGGAATCAGATTTACGCTGCTACATACCACTAACCTTCAAACCACTCACATGTTGCACCATCATTCTGTGCATCCACATTTGAGGATCTAATAAGTTATTCCACATATGACACTCAGTTGCCTGATCATATTTTTTCTGCGCAACCACATACCTCATGCAGTTTCTCTCTCAACATCTTCTATACAGTGACGGGCAAACCCATGATTTTCGTCATCTCTCATTTCCACAGGTCGTTGCTCTTGTTGAGTATTCCTTCAATCCTTCAAACTACATATATTTTTGATTCTATCATTTAGTACTTTATAGGAAAGGTTTAGTAAAGTAATAAAATGTTTACTTATGGACTTTTTTATAACTTTTCTGTATGTATTTGACATTCCCATATATAAAAATTATGGTTGAAATAGAATTTTTTCAACTTGATAAATTAAGTTTATGTTTCATAATTAGGCAAAAAAACTAGTAAAAATTTATTTCCTAAGTTCCCCCTCCACTCGAAATTGTTGACATGAAACACAAACATAAATAACATAGAAATGTTGGATTTCGTATTGTGTTTTTGAATATTTCTAGGATCACATTTCATATCCATGATATCTTGAAATAAAAAAAAAAAATCATTATCTTGTAGCTAATAAACCATACTGAAGAATCATTCACAGAATTTGTATAAACGTCAATGTTCAACATTTACAAACAAGAATTCATTGAACTGTTGTCTACTAATTAGTAACAATTATTATTTATATTTTGAATAGTTTGATAGATCAAAAAAACTGTGTCGAAGAAATTTGACAAATTTTAAGTTTCTATACAAAAAATTTATATCAATAGTAAGCAATACTAGCAAACTTCAAGCTTTGTAGAAATGAGGCATTGAAGTTAGTAGTGAAATCTAGAATGTACGTTTTGTCCAAATTTGAACGTTTTGGTCAGGTGTACTTGTATCACAGTTGACGTATCGAATCGTCCATAGTTTACTAAGTTATCTCTGCAACACATTTTCCATGTTTTCGCTGGAATAGAAAGACAAATGAGACAACTGTGTAACACATATAACGAACCTTTTTTTATTGAAATACTGACTGTATAAAAATGTTATTGTTTTCAAGGAATGATTGAAAAAATTATTAGTTTTTTAGTCTAATTATATAACTATTTATAACTTCATTTAAATTATTTACCTAGCATTTCGAATGAAAAATATCAGTACCCACAGTAAACTCACAGTATCTAACACATGCGTCAATTTTATTACAGTTAATTACAGTTAATTGTAGGGGAGCACACATGAAAATTTATATTTAAATGAAAATACCGAGAATCAGATATAAGTCATTTAAATATCAATTTAATCATCTTTCATTTCAAGCTACAATGTCCAATTTACGGTCGATGAGTAACTGTTAGGTAACACTTATCCAACAGATCATTTATCCCATCACGGTTATCAATCAACAACGTAAATCATATGAAATAAGTTCACGTGTTTCACTCAGGCGTTTGATTTGATTGAGTAATTTATTCTAAACGTTTGTACATGTAAGTTACAACATTTTGTCGATTTCAGTAGTATGCATGAATCTATCGAGATATTTGAATCTAATTGAGTTCCGTATTCGTTGATAAGCTGAACACTGTTAACTATTAGTTTTTC